AATTTTGCTGTTAAACCCCTGAAGGGTCATTGGGTGAAATGACTAAGTAGATATTAGGATTTTCTGTTGTAATAAGAAAGTCATTAAAATGTATTTGAAAAAAAATATTGAGAAACAAATAAATATAATGATTTGTTTCATGGTTATGTCCATTATTACAATGAAATAATGTAAAATACTGGACATGTAATGCATACTAATTGAAAAGTTCATATACAGTGTTATATATATGTATATATGTTTGAATGTGTGTATATATATATATATATCTTATTGTATTATATTTTATTGTTTTATTTCAGAAAGAATATAAAGAAAATGATCATTATGCAGTAAATAAGTTCGATTTGGTCAGAGAGATGATCAACAGGTGATGTACTGTTTTTACAAAGAATTAATTTTTTTGGCCTTTTCTTTAGTTACTATGTTTACAAAGCCTCCTGAAATTGGCTTTACATATATATGAATTTTAGCAGGGTAGGGGTCATCTACTGCTCAGACAGTTTTGTTTTTATAACAAGGTAGTTGGCCTTTGGAATGTGTTGCCTTCAGACGTGGTGAATGCAGTAAATTTAGGGTGTTTAAGGAAACACTCAATAAATATTTTAATGATAAGGGCTAGCTCTGATTTTATTTTGTTTAATTTAGTTTGGTGGATGGGATGAGCTAGATCAATCAAAAGGTCCCTTGTTGTCCTTAAATTTTATGTTTGTATCTATGTAGCATTTTAAATGTTACCAGTGTTTTTGACAGTACTGGTGATTTGACCTATCATCTTTCATCATTTTATGTACATGAAGTTGTACGAAGCTTATGTTGAATGTAACAGTAACTGTTACTTCTAGACAGCACTGCTAAAGGTTTGTTTCTGTTTGAGATATGACTTATAGTGTAGGCAACTAAAATAGAAATGGTTACATATTCTACAGGAGTAATAGTTGTACAGCACTTTTGAAGGATTGTTAGTTTTTTTAGGGTTAGTACTGTATTTTTAATGAAAACTATTAATGGTTGCACTTCAGTAACATTGAAGTATCTCATAGTTCCTAGGTTGTTGTATTTATATATTCAGGTATTAATTTTTTAAGAGTTAGAATATAACATTAGGAATATCATAATACTTTTAGAAAAGTTTTACAACTTAATTAGTATTCATTTAGATGTTCATTAACTTAATTTTTTAGATGCATTTTAAATTCAGGTGAACGCTGTTGAGTATAAAAATAACTAGTAATCCTTGACTCTTGCTAAGACAAAAAAGCAATATTACGAAAGAATATTGGAAAGTAATATGAATTAGAAGTATTACTAATAATTTCATAGTCTGAAGTTTTTAATTTTCAGTGAACTTATAAGGAAATGCAAAATATACTATGAAATACAAACATAGTAATCTTTGTATACTATATAGTACCATACTAATGAAACATTCTTTAATTTTTCATGGTTTATATTGAATTTCTTTAACATAAAGAAACACTGACAATTGCAAATTGAGAACTGAATTCAGAACTCTTGCTGAATTATTTTCCATCATGGCAAAATAACATGAAACAAATAGATTCTGTTGTTAACTTGTAAAAACTTAACTGCTTTGTACAGTCTTTACACCTTCCAAAATAAAGTCTGGTTCAGGTAATCAGGTCACACGTTAACTGCTCCATAGCTTTGCCGTTCAGCACCATTTCCACCTTTTAAAGTTAATGCAACATTAAAAATACTGCAGCATGGAGTATCACCAAAAGCTGAAATTAAAATTTGGCAAAATCTAACTTGCCTAAGGCTGTGAGATAGAATAAAGTAATCATTAATATTTTGATTTTTTAGGGACATAACTTATATAGGTGAGTCCATTGTTAAGTTCTCTACTTGTATTTCAGGCAGCTCGGCAATGGATGATGGAGGCCCATCTCTGCTTGATGTAATCAGGTACATTCTTGTTTATTCATTAAAAATGGACCATCTTATAAAAATACACTTGTTACTAGCATATGCAATGGGCTACAGTGCTGCTTTGTTTTTTAAGAATGAAACAGATTTACAGGGCGCCTTTGATATTTAACATAGTGGTTTCCATCCCTTAGAAAATAGGGTTAATAAAGTAGAAACATTTTACTTGATTTGATTAAATGAAGAAAAATAATAGCCATTTACATATTTTGCTTTTTCTAGATATGACAGTTGCATTTATAGAAGCCATATTTATAAATGTAATTTGATGCTTTGTGAATAATTATTGTTTGTTAATTGGAAGATTTGAGAGTAAGCAGTCACTAGTGCTATAAAATGCTTAAACTTGCAAACAATTGATATTTGTCTAGGCTTAACTGATTCAACTGATTAAGAGAAATGTGAGCAAAAACATCTTCAGTCAATCTATACTTCAGTTTAAACAACTTCTCTAAAATAATTATAGGGGAGAATACAACCTCAAGAAATTTACAACATTGATAAAAAAAACACTTGGGAGATGAAAGGCAAGTCAGTAAAATACTTGATTTGCATAACATAGTTTAAAATTGATAAATAATTAATACATTAATATACTAAAAAATAAATCACACTTATAAGTCAATATTTAAAGACCAGTCAGCCAGTTTTTATTACTGACCTAAAAAATACAGTGTTTAAGAAGCAAGATTAGTTGGGTTATCTCTTATTAGGGAAAAATCATGAAGAAAATTGTCATAAGCTTCTAATAATTTATCATGACCTTATGTATGATAGGCTTAGAAGATGAAAAAGCATTGGTGGTGTTATTACAAGAAAATAACAGTTTTAATTCTTAAAGATTAAATTTAATTCTGTTATCGATACATGCCAACCATACCTTTAATTGTTTTTGTATGTATATATGTTTTTATTTTCACTTAGATTTAGGCCTTTTGTATTCAGTTATAATATGTGGAAGATATTGTAAAAAAGTTATGTTGTGATGATTATATTACAGATATATTTTCACCAACCAAAGTTAAAATAGAAAATATAATCTATGACATAGAGGCTTAATGCATTCTTTGATTTGCCTCACCCTCTCCTGCAAACTTTAGTTTCACCTATTCAAGGCTCATCAGCACAGCTTGGGTCAGCAATTCAAAGAAATACAATTAGGCCTTTTATAATGGTGATGTATGTAATACTTAAGGAGTTTTTGAGTCCTTTTTAACTCACCATATAATAACCCTCTGTTTTACCTTTGGTGAAAAGAAATCTGTAATATAATCATCAAACAGTTAGTCCACTGTATGATATCAAATAATGAATTAGTTGTAATACCATAATATTATTCACACATCTAAATCAATTTAGATTACTGTAAGTAATTTATCATTACCTTGTGTTTGATAGGTTTAGAAGATGAATAAGCATTGGTGGTGTTATTACAAAAAAATGACAGTTTTAATTCTTAAATTTAATTATGCTAAAAAAAACATAAATATTATATTTATTTTGATGGTTTACGTATCCATCTTTGAATCTTTTAGAAGTATGAAAATTTAAACGACAGTAAAACTGGGTATTATACATATATAAGTATGATTAGTATAGCTGTTTTTTCTAAAAACTGTATTACTATACTATGTTAGGTGTACAACTAATGCCACAAATAAACAATTTGATAATTTGAGATGTTGTCAAGTTGTTAGTTTTTATGATTTTGAAGTGGTCAAAAACATTACATGAGTTTACTTTTAACAAATTTTTAAAAATCTATCTTTTAAAAGTAGGGATTTTACTGCACATAATTTATCAGTTCTGTGATCAAATAGATTATAAATAATGTAGAAAATCAAAAAATTATTGTGATATAGGTTTTTGCAAACAATTAGTAACTGTTGCAATCTTGTGACTGTCTGTTATATGTTTTTATCATTACTTTGTCAAATAACCTTAATTAACTTGTACAAACATTTTCTCTCTTATTTCAGTGATCCACTCCTTCTTCAATCTTTTCTTGAAGGTGAAACACAAAATTTGGGAAAAGTGAGTGTTTTTTTCATCTTTTACAGTTTTCCAATTATTAAAAAATATAAAATTGTCTTGCCTTTGTACATCAGATTTGGGATTTTTTATATTTATAAATCCAGTTATACTAAAAAGGAAACATAGAAAGAATTATGATTTAAGATTAGTGGGAAACATTCACTTATAAATGTAGGAATACTTGTTTTATAGTAAAATTCTGAAATTAGCATTTGAGTAATTACAAAACTGAAACCTTGTTCCATTAACTAGTTTTGTGCTTCTGTATTTTTAAAAATAATAGATAATTTATATATACTTGTATTTTTGTTCATTCATTGACTTGTTCATAAGGCTCTCCTATTTTATTTAAACATATTTACTTTTCTTTATTCATATGTTTTCAGATACGTGATATGTTTTGTAGTTAGAGTTAGAAGTATTACAGTTATTTGATTTTACGGTATTAAATGTTTTTCAGACTCAAGAAGATGGAAAAGTATCAAAGTCAATGATATCCACATCTCAGCTATCTGGTCAAGAGCATGTAAAGGCCCCTGAAGTTGTACAAAAGCAGGGCCTTTTTCCTGCTGTTGGCCTGAAGCCGTCCTTAGAGTCCATGGGGTACAGCTTTCATGGTGCTGTAGTTACATCAATGCCCAATTCTTTAGGGATGGGAAATCCCATGATAGGTGGAATTCAAGCTTCCTCTTCAACTAATACAATTCTGCGACTTTCTGCTGATCCAGGTATGCAGCAAGGTTTTGCTTTAGCAGATGCAGCATCCTTACGAGTCTCATCCTCACCAGTTGTCACAACTTTCCAGTACCTACAATCTCAAGCAGGCTTGACTGTTCATCCTACCTTCTCAGCATCTGGTGCAACCATTCATCACATACCTTCTCCTGGTGGTGCCACTATTCATCACATTCCCTCTTCAGGACAGTCCCAGCACCATCGACCCTCATCAGCACCAGCACCGCAGATTGCTGCTCCGTCTCCTTATAATGTGAAATCTCCAGGTCAAGGCCCTCCTTCAGTTAATAGTCTGCCTCCTCCATCTCCAATTCAACAGATACGTTCTCCTAAACCACCCCTTGCTCCTTCTCCTGTATCCTCATGGTCTCCAGTACCCAGTGCATCAACTTCAGCCCGTGGGACAGGACTTCCAGTTAAACAGCAGACAACTGGTGCTGTTAATCAAGTAACTTCATCTTCAGTCAGTCAGAAACAAAATCCCGTCAAGGCACAAACTGCACAAGTGCAAGTACCCAAACAACCTGTGGTTCAAATTCTTACACCTCAACAAAATGCAGTAGGTATGCCACGCTCTACTCATAGCTCTGGTCGTCCCATTCAACCAAAGCCTCAACAAATCTTACCAAAGCCTCCTGTTTCTTCTTCTAACCAGTTTTCTGCTCCCCTCATAAAATCAAGTGGTGGCAGTGGGTCTCCTTCAGTGCAACCAAGTCAGGGGTCTGTGGGTATTGGCCTAAATGCTCCAGTGAGTGGGTCTCCATTGGTTCTGGGACAAAGCCAGCCTGGAGTGATAGCTGGTCCTCAGGGAACAATTGTACTTAATCAGATCATCCCAGGCCTTCCAGGACAAAATCCTATATTGATTCAAGGAAATCTGGGAAGCCTGGCTGGTGTTCAGTTAGCTCTTCGACCACAACATCCTGGTTCTCTCACAGTTTCTAATCACTCTGCCAATGTTATGGCTGCCAATAATTCTGCACTAGTAGCAGCTCTCCAGAATCCTGGTCAACCACCTCAGCACCTTCTGGACCAAGGTAAAAGTCCACTTACAGGACAGCAAACTTTATTCATTCCAAATACTATAACACAGCAAGGCCTTCCATCTCAAGGCCTCACCCTTGGGGGCACTGGAATCCCAACTAATTCAATAGTACAGTCTTCAGCTCATCCACACACAGTTCTAAACACGAGGCCTAACATTATTCTGGCTCCGCGTGTCATGGGTCCTCAGCAATGTATTCAGCTTCAGCAAATTCAAACACCACAAGGACCAATCACTGTGGCTTTAGCACCTGGACAAACCATTACATTGCCACAACTCCAAGCTGCAATAGGTGGTACAGTCTCCGTTCCAAGTGTTCTTGCACCTGGGCAAGGTGTTATGCCCAATTTACCAGTACAACATCCTTTGTCACATTCTCTTGTCCCATCACAACAACCACAGATACATGATATTCAGAGCCAACAAGTAGTCAGTGGGATGAATTCACCTCTTCAATCCTTTTCACACAAATCAGAGCCTCAGACTTTTGTTCAAGTGTCCCAAAGTCCTCCTCTTCAGAATCAACAGGGTATGAGCCTAACACCAGACACATCTTCAGAGTCCTCAAAGCCTGCCAAAGTTCCTAGTGTCAATCTTGCAGAGCTGCTGAAGGAACACGGGATTCTGGATTCCACCCCACCATCTTCTCCAGCAGAATCCACCACCCATGATGAATCTGAGGCCAAAAGTGATGCTCGTACTGTGATATCTTTACCTTCTTGTACAGCTTTGACTCAAGTTTCAGCCTCTCACAGTATTTTTTCTTCTACAGTTAACTCACAGGTAAAGGAAATTTCTGTTTATAGTCTAGAATTAATTGTTTTGTTATTAAATATAGTAGATTAAATATTTATAAAATTTATATCACCTTAAATAACATTTAAGTTGAGTATACTGGAATGGATGGCAACTGCCTGTTGTAAAAAAAAACACAAGTGTACGGGATACTATAGAAGACTTGTAACAGCTTACACACACTGACCTGAAGACAAAAGGCTTTTGAAACATGGTACTCTACACTTTTGTTTATAATAGGCATTTGCCATCCATTCCAGTACACTCATCATGAATACTCTGCTTAAACAATCTATCAAAGAACATTTAAGTTGCTTTACTTGCTTCTTTGGTAACCTTATAGATTTTTTCTCACATCATTGTTTTCAGGGCTCTTACAACTAATGGCATCACTGAGAAATTTTAGGAATTCAAACTAATTTTGTATTTGTTTTGGAAATTTAAAAGTGTGATATCTTATGTGATTGAAGCAAAAAGAACATCTCTGTTAGGTATTACAAGGTTCATGATGAACCAATCATACAGTTACTGGATAACAAAAACAACAAGAAGCTTGTGGAATTAATACGTGGAAGCAGCACTTCAGATAAGCTTTTTACGTAATGAGTATTTAACTCCTCAAAATAAACTGGAATGCTGAAGATGCAAACTGAATGCTTGAAATTTTCATATTTTGGGGTTTCCTTTTTTTTTTTTGCCTTCCAACACTTGGCACTGTTTTGCTGTGTTTACTAGGCACTTGCTTTTTATCTTTCTGTATCAATATCCTATTAAGGACCACCTGAGACAATTACAGTGTAAGCCTTATTGATGTCAATCAATAAACTTAAGACTATTATAATTTTCAGTTCAACCGTAACTCTGAACTATAGGTAATCACAAGCTAGTAATTGCTATACTATTGTTTTATGAATTTTCTTTTCCTCACAAAAACTTAACCAGTTCAGCTGATAAAAGAAGGAATATGTGAAATGACATATAGTTTCATACATCATTTGATTCACTACTCTTTCTGGAGTAGACTTTAGTTTCAACTAATCACATCTTTTTAGTACTGCTTGGTGAGCAAACTAAAGAGAGACATTAGATCTTCATATAGTAGTGAAATGCAAACAATTTTAAGAATTTCATCTGAAGGACTTTACATCAAATCCTACAAATCACTGTAAAACTTGTCAGTGGAAAAGTTGACAAAACCATCAATACTTATTTAAAGAACCTACATACTCGTTTTTTTTTTGTTGTTGTAATGTTATTTTTAATTTCTTATATACTTATGTTTTTTTTAGATTTGAGGCTTATATTTTCTTTGTGTTTGTAGAAGCATAATTACTGATAAAATGAGTTTTTATTGTGTTTTTTTTCCTTTATTCTGAAATTTGCAGGGCAGTTATACATAGAATTAGTTGAATGGATCTGGTTGTTTGATACACTACCTTCAAAGTCTGATATGGTAGAATAACATAATTTGGGCTTAGATGTAACAAAACATTAGAAAAAACAAAGGTTATTTTTGCATTGTAATTTTTGCTAAAGTAACGTCCTAAGGGTTCCATATGAACTAGAAGCATCAGTATTTTATTATAATTACTGCTTTAATTGCCAAATTCATTGGCCAGATTTTATAGTCTCAATTTTTTCTCATCTTTTAAGTCATGTAGTGAAATTGTGAGACAGTGGTTACTTCTGGTGAAACATTTATTCTTATTATAGATATAATAATTGATCATCATTGAGTATATATATATATATATTATACATGCACAAAGTTTTATCTGTATATAAAAAATAATTGTGGAATGTTTTATTTGAATTTGAATACTCCACCCATAAACTACACCAAGTTATTATGAAATTAGAATTGTGGAATAAAGGTTTCAGCTCTTGACGTAATACACATGACATCAAGCCTGTACGCAGAATTTTAGAAGAGGGGGTTCTAATTTGTGAGATCAAAAACCAACACATACTATGTGAAGCACAATCAGCATGCAAAACATGCTAATGGTGTGGGGGTTTGGGGGCATGTCCCTTACAAATTTTGTAAAAAATAGGTGCTATGAGATTAAATCTGGAAGCAATTTTGTATGAAATATAGCTTAAACAATTGTATGGCTGTTCATATAAAAATCCAAAAACATCCAATGAAAAGTCAACAAATCATCATTCTTTTGTTAACACTGCATGGGGAAGTAGACTTAAATTGGCATACATATTATAGTAAAGTACTAAACTATCTACATGC